ACATGCGCCTAGCGTGAATTCAAGCCACCAGGTCCAGGACTTGAACTGCAGTCAACTACATGGGAGTCCAGCGACATAACCATTACCCTAACTGCTGGTTCCTTCTTTTTTTTTTTTTGAGAGAGAGGTTTTCACTATAGGGTGCGTGCGCTCGCCAGAGAGAGACATAGAGAGACAGAAAGTGAGAAATCGCCCCCCAGGGGGGATGGCCACACCACAATCCCTGCTCCTTTCTCCTCTCAGGAACTTGGGCATGTATGCACATGCGCCGAGCGTGAGTTTTAAGCCACCGGGTCTGGGACGCGAACCGCGGTCGACTACGTGGGAGGCCAGCGACATAACCATTACACTAACTGCTGGTTCCATCTTTAATGTACTTTTAATTTAAAATGTTAATACAAATAATAATTTAGTGTAGAAAAATCAGGAAATGAAAGTAAGCAAGAAACATAGCTACTTTAAACATACTAGAGATAACCATTATTAACTATTTTATATATTGATTTAATTTTGATTAAATATTAGTTCAAGTTTAAAAAGGATAGGTATTCAAAGAATGGTCAAGATGGTAAATTAGTATTTGAATGAAAAGCAATAATCATTTATAAACATTTTTAAAAATCCCAGGAAGTGGTGGTGCCTTGAGTGGCCTGAGCATGTCACCTCCGAGGCTGTGCCCAGCTATGCGTTGCCCCCTCTCCCCTGGGCTGTTAAAACAGTTAACTTACTAGTTTTGGGGCCAGCAGGTGGCATGGTGGTTAAGGGCGCTGGACTCATACATACATGGCCAACCATGGTTCTAGTCCTGGACCTTGTGACTCGTTTTCTCACTTTTTCTCTCACTCTGTCGTTCTCTGGTCAAATTAAAATAAATAAAGTTAAATAAAATTAAAAATAGGCAGAGTTTATTGAAAGAGAGGAAAGCTCCTGAGCAGGGAGGGGTCCCAAGAGGGTTGCCAAAGAGTAGCTGAGGCCAGGGATTTTTATCCCAGCCAGGAGGGAGTTGTGTGTGCATTTCCCTCCCAAATGATTATGTTGTTCTTAGACATGAGGAGAAAAACTAGAGATGGCCCTCAATAAAGTATGAAACTTTTATTATTTTTGGCATAGTTGTGGTATCAACTTATCCTATGAACAGTGTATGAAAGTCCCCATTGTGGGAACCAGCAGTTAGCGTAATGGCTATGTTGCTGGACTCCCACGTAGTTGACCGCGGTTTGCATCCCAGACCTGGTGGCTTAAAACTCACGCCATGTGCGTGTGTGCCCAAGATCCCGAGAGGAGAATGGAAGAGAAGGGATTGTGGCATGACCATCCCCCCTGGGGGGTGATTTCTTGCTTTATGTCTCTATGTCTCTTTCTGTCTGGCAAGCGCACGCGCCCTTTTCCGGTCACCCCCCGGGCCCCAAAAAAAAAAAAAAAAAAAAAAAAAAAACACCTCTCCAAAAAAAAAAATAAAAAGTCCCTATTGCTCCAAATCCTTGACATTTGGTATAATCAGTTTCCAAATATTTAGTAATTGAATAGATGTGTGATATCTTCTTTTCTTTTTTTTTTTTTTGCCAGAGGGCTCATGAACTCACTAGGAAAAGAGAAAAAACCCTTTGCCCACAATGGGAAATGGTAATGCCACAATCCATTTTCTTCCATTACTTTATCCCGTCAGAATTTTAAGTATGCATACACACACATGAACCTGGTGAGTGTTTCAAGGTGTGAAACCTGAAATTCGAACCATGTTTAGCCATGTGGGATTTGACTCCCTTACTAATACACTGTGGAGCTGGGCCCAGTGTATAATACCTTGTGAGTTTTTTTCACTCTTTAAAAATACCAATATATGAAACCACACAAAGCAAACATAGCTTAATGAATTATAGTAAGACACTTAAATCCACCAGTGAGGTCAGGATATAGACCCTCCTGAAGAAACAGCCATTGCCAAGATTCTTTCTTTTATTCTATCCTTATAACTGGTTCTTTCCGAAAGTAATTGTGAGATTAAAAATTATGGGCTTTTTAAATCCCAGCTTACTCTTCAATTCCTTTCTTTTTCCCACATTTTATTGTTGTCAAATCTGAACTGTAGTGTTTATTTTAGTCTAGGTAAGTGCGTGTCAGCCCTTTAAAAAAATTACTAATTTTTCTTATAGAGCCTTTTTAGATTCTTCTTAATTGCCTCTCCTTGGGACCAGCGGGTGGCATGGTGGTTAAGGTGCTGGACACTCCCACATGGCCGACCAGGGTTCGAGTCCCGGACCTGGCGACTTCCTTTCTCCCTTTCCCTCTCTCTCTCTCTCTCTGTGTTTCTCTCTGGTCAAATTAAAATAAATGAATGAATAAATAAAATTAAATAAATAATTTTTAAAAATTGCCTCTCCTCATTAAATACTAGAGAATATCATTTTTCTTCTATTCTTTATTCTGAAACTTAGGGGCTGGGTCTGACTGGACTCAGGTTCAATCCCTTTGGCAAGACAGGAAGTGTTCTTTCCTCGGAAGGTACCTAATGTCTTGTCTCTGGGATGTTAGCAGCTAATGGTATTTGGTGTCTAGATCAGTAGCGATTTACTGAGGCATGTGAATTTTTTTTTTTTTTTTTGGAGAGGTTCTTGCTATAGGGCGTGTGCGTTTGCCAGAGAGACAGAGAACGAGAAATCACCCTCCAAGGGGGATGGCCATGCTGCAATCCCTTCTCCTCCATTCTCCTCTTGGGATCTTGGGCACACACACATGCATGCCTGGTGTGGGTTTAAGCCACCGGGTCTGGGACTTGAACCGCAGTTGACTACATGGGAGTCCAGTGACATAGCCATTATGCCATCTGCTGGTCCCATTCAATGATATTTTAATAGAAATTTTCCTCATTTATATTAGAATACTTTTTCCTAAAGAATTATTTATTTAATTTTATTTATTCATTTATTTTAATTTGACAAGAGTGAGACATGGGGGGCGGGGGTGGGGGCGGGGTGAGAATCCAAGCCACCAGGTTTGGGCCTTAACCCATAGTTGTCCACGTAGGAGTGTCCAGAGCCTTAATCACCATGCCACCTGCTGCTTCCCGCTGCTCCCATAATTTTTTAAAAACCTGATTCTTGGGGCCAGCAGGTGGTATGGTGGTTAAGGTGCTAGACTCCCACATGACTGACTGTGGTTCTAATCCTGGACCTGGTGGCTTTCTTTCTCTCTCTCTCTCTCTCGTGAGCACATGCGCCCTATAGCAAACTTAAAAAATGATAATTATTAAAATAAAGTTAAATAATTTTTTAAAAATCCGATTCTTTGCCTTTATTTACCAATTTAAAGATATGAGGGGACTTCAAAAAAATTATGGAGAAATGGAATTAGAGTGTAATTTGATGCAAAAAATTCTGGAGTCTATGCCTAGATTTTAAATAATGTGCATGTTCCATGATTTTTTAAAGGGATTATTTAATGAGAAAGCAAGCCACCAGGTCCAGGACTTGAACCACCGTTGGCCATGTGGGAGTCCAGTACTTCAACCACCATATCACCTGCCAGCCCCTCCATGAACTTTTTGAAGACCCCATTTCTTTCCGTAGGTACTGTTTTTGAAGATGACTTTTAAAAAAAAAGTGAACTTTTTCACTTACACATTCTTAAGTGTTTTGTCAATAATCATCCTTATTAAAACTCAACCTGTTCTTTTTTAGGCAAACGGGAGTCTTTTCAAGACCTTTTTTTGGAATTTTGACAGGACCTCGTCTTAATAAGTAGTGTCTTTAGCTGTTTTGATATTTGAGAAGACGAAATGTTCCAGGTTTATTCTGTATAGTTCTATCCGGCCTGGAATCAGTAGGAAGTATCTCAAGGTTATAATCTAGATACTATAGATGTACTTTGCTACAAGTTGATCATTGCTTTTAGACTTTTTGTACAGAACTTAAATTATTTTCTGAATCAATACTATTTATAATTCAGATTTAGTACTATAGGGTTGAGGCACAGGAATTTAGTTATGATTTTTGCATCTGTATTCATGAGATGCTAGCATTCCAATATTCTTACTGGTTTTAGTTAGGTCAACATCAAACTGATTTGAGAAATGTTTCTTCCATTTTTCTGAAAAAGTTTTTGTAATATTTGTTGCCTTTGTTCCTCAAAAAGCCTTCACTGGGAAAGCTTTCTGAGCTTATAGTATTCTTTGGGGATAATTATTAATTACTGATTAACTTTCTTTCTTTCTTTGTTTTTTTTTTTTTTTAGTTTGCTCTAGGGTGTACCTACCAGAAAAAGATAGGGGGAGAGGGAACGTGAGAAAGCATTCCTACAGGGGGAATGACCCTGCCCAGTCCCTTCTTTTCCTCTCTCCTCTTGAGATTTTGGACACATGTACATGCACTCGGTGTGTTTTTCAAGCTACCAGGTCCGGGACATGAATCACAGAATTGGCCATATGGGATCCAGTACCTTAGCCACCACAAAGATCTTTTCCATAATGGCATACGCATTTGTTGTAGGTGGAGCTCAGTTCAACTCTTTGTCTCCTTTTCAGATGGATATCCTTCATTTTTAAAAATTCTTTTTAGTTTTTATCATAAACACATACACTTGCTAGAGAGAGTCAGAGAAACCGTGAGAGTGGGTGAAAAATCACCCACCAGGGATGGCCACACCATAGTCCTCTTTCTTCCATTCTCCTCCTGGGATTTTGGGCACCCATGGACCCAGTGTTATTTTTAAGCCACCAGGTCTGGGACTCAAACCGTGGTCGGCCACATGGGAGTCCAGTTACTTAACCAACACGCCACCTGCTGGCCCAATATCTCCCCCCCCCCTTTTTTTTTTAAGAATTTTTTTTAACTTTATTTATTTATTTTAATTTGACGAGAGAGAAAAAGTGAAAAAGCAAGCTGTCAGATCCGGAACTCAAACCATGGTCGGCCATGTAAGAGTCCAGTGTCCTTAACCACCATGCCACCTTCCGGACTCCAATATCCCTTATTCTTAATGTTCTTTCTTTTTTTCAGATATTTTGGAATAGATGGTCACCATGTTTGGATACTAGGAATTACTTAGATATATTTCTGCATTTGAAAATGGCAGAGGGAAACAACAATGAAGAGATAATTCACTTGAACAGCTTTCACTGCCACCGGGGACAAGGTAAGTTGTTTGTTCTTCCTTTCTCCCTTTTTTAGAGAGATTTTTGCTATAGGGTATGTGAATATTAGTAAAGAGATAGAAAGTACTAAAAAATAATTTAAAAAAGAACCAAGTGAAAATTCTTAGAGGCAAAAACTTAAATGAGAAGAAATAATTAAAATGTAAAATTTACTGTCAATCTGCTCAACAGCAAAGATCTGAGCATGAATCAGTGTACTTGAAGGGTAGATTGGTAGAGAATATCTATACAACAGAAAGAATAAAGAATATGTGGGATATTAAGACTAAAGAATAATGTGGGATACTATCCAGTTTACTGACACATAAAAGAATGGTCAAAAAAGAAATTTGAAAAAATGATCAGAAACTTCCTAAATTTGATGAAAAACATTAACCTATACATTTAGGAAGCTAGGTGGACTGCCAAGAAAAATAAATATGAAGAAGTCTATGCCTAGACTTATCTTGATCTTTGCCCAAGTGGCCACATGAGACAGTAGAAATCTCTTTGTTCACAATACAGTCTGGATTACCTCTCATTTCTGCCCTCAACAATGTCCTTTGCAATCAATTTCTGAGCTTTTCTAGGGTCTGCATCATGAATTAGGCCACTTCTGGTTGGCTGCTCCTTTTGCAGGCTGTGAGTTTGAGGCTTCTCTTTCTGCTGAAGCACTTGCCATCTGTCAGTCTGCTGTTTTCCAGAATTTTGTTGAAGTCTCTTGCCTGGTATCATCTCTCTCCCTCTTTTTTGTACTCAAGGGTTTATACTTAAAAAAAAAAAAAAAAAAAAAAAAAAAAAAAACCTCACCAGAGGAAGACTCAGAAGGAAAGGGAGAAAGCACCTCCTAATGGGGCATGGTCACACTGTAGTTCCTTCTCCATTTGTCAGGATTTGGGGCCTGTACACCTCTGTACCTGAGATGATTTTCAAGCTATCAGGCTGGGATTCAAACCAGGCAGTTGGCTATGTGAGATCTGGCTTCCCCTAATTTATCAGACTAGGAAGCCAACCCCTCTTTTTTTTTTTCCTATCTCTTTTTTCCTTTTCTGTTTCTTTCTTTCTCCTCTTCATCTTCCTTTTAGGACTTCAATGCATTTTTCTCTTAATTGCCCACTTTAACTTTTTTCCCCCACCAGGGGCATGAAAGAATACCCCTTTTGGGGCATGGTCACAGCACAATCGTTTTCCCTCGATTTCTCTATCTTGTCAAAATTTGGAACATGCATACACATGCATCTGGTATGTTTTCCCATTTGCCAGGGCTGGAATTTGGACCATGGTCAGCCATGTGGAATCCATCTTCCTATACACAGCGCTGAACTATTGTATTATGGGACTGACCCTGTCCATTTTGACTTTTAACATTGTCATGGATCCAGGCAGGAAAAAAATAACAGTTTGTGTAATTCAGTAATTTATATCAAACATAATCTATCTTCAAACAAATGAAGTATAGTAGAGACTTTGAATTACTACATCTGGATTGTTCATTTAACTGTAGTTATATTTAAAAGGAAACTAGAGAAGTTAAATTGTTGCTGTCATAGATGCTAAATGGATCCCTGACTAAAACATTGAAATATGTTTACTTAAATGATCATTTGGGTTTTGTTTAAGGTGAGCAGTCTTTTAAATATTAAATTAAAAGTTTACTCTTTTCATGTTGTATTTTCAGATCTAGCCGTTTTCTTTCTCCTGTGGGGAATAGAGATGGGTGGAAGTCCATAAAAGCATGCCTCTTAATGCTTGAGTGCGTGTGGCGCTTCATGTTAATTAATACACTAGTAACCATGAACTTAGCTTTAAGCTTAACTGTTTAGGCCAGAGTTTAATTAAAGAATTTAACATGATCATGCCAACCTCCCAGTAACTGTTCTCTGCCTTCCCATAGACTGGATCAATATCAGAGATGGGCCCATCACCATATCTGACTCCTCTGACGAGGAAGGGATTCCAATGCTGGTCACCCCAGCTCCTCAGCAACCTGAAGAAGAGGACCTAGATGATGATGTCATCCTGACGGAAGTGAGTTTTCTTAAACTTACCATGATGATACATTATTGTAATTTAATGACCTGATTCTTGAGACACACTGTAGGCTTTGTAGAGAGCTCAGAGAATCTATTTGCTCTTCTTGCTGCATTTCTGAGAGCAGCCCTCTTTCCACCCTACCTCATGTCTCTTAAACTTTATAAGCCATATGTCTCCATCTGTTTCTAGACTTCTATATCAGGCAGTAGTCCTCACTGTTGTATGAGGGGACTTTAAAACATTCTTGAGATAATGGTATTAGAGTATGAGTTTATGTATAGGTGTTTTTTTTTGTTTGTTTGTTTTTTTTTGAGAGATTTTCACTGTAGGGCGCGTGCGCTCCCCAGACAGACAGACAGAGAGAGACATAGAGACAGAAAGCGAGAAATCACCCCCCAGGGGGGATGGTCACGCCGCAATCCCTTCTCCTCCATTCTCCTCT